TAATCAGATGTTGATCTGCAGCGCCGCAGGGTGCCTCCTCTGTTGTGAGCGCCTATGATCTTAGATTTGAATGGAGACAACCGGGTTAACCTCCTGTTGGTATGAAAAGATAAGTAGAGAATGGAAAGCAATTGAGAGGGCTGCCGAAGTGAGCATTAGATCCGGTCGGCCTAAGTAAGGGGACGGCTCCTGTGCACATGTGAGAGGATGAGCCCATGTGGGAGGACGGCTCATGCGGGGGTTCGGTGACTGCCTACTTTGACTAATTTCCACGTGATGTGATTATTTAAGTGTGTATTATTGTTTTTGGGTTGCTGATGTACTGTCATATTGTTGACTGTTGTGTGTTCATTCAGTTATCTAGGGTGCATTTGCTTGAACTGTAAGTGGTGTGTTATTATTTATTTATTAACATTTCACTGAGTTCGCAAAACTCACTCCCTCTCTCCAAACCTCCCAGGGTACTAGGAAGGTCAGTGTGATCTGACTGTAAGCCTGCAATCTTTCACGCTTCTCCGCAGAGTTACAAATGTAAACTTTATATTCTTGATATTTAATTTTGAATGTATAAATTATTCTGTTATCAGATTTTTTTGGACTCCGCAATTATAGGGTTGTGTATTTAAATTGGGGTTTATTGTTAGCACTACGCTATAAATTAATTATTGTGTAATTAACTGTAGGTAAACTAGTAAGCCCTTATTGTGATTATTTGTTATTGTGAATAGGCCCTGGTTAAATTTTATGTATTATTTGATATTGGGTCAGATGTTTGAAAATTTTATAAAACTTATATCTTAAGTCATATGGGCAGTCAATAGGGCTTAGTCTGTCTTTGTTGAAATTAGGAGAATTCATGTAGAAGCAGATTGAAATATATTGAGGCTTATCTACGGGCCTCGGAGCCTAAGCTTCCTGGGCTCCTAAGTGGCCGGTCTCGGCCCAAAACGGAAAAACGGGGGTTTTTTTTTTTTTTTTCCCGTGACAGGTTCATCTTGAGTATAAATATTGAAAATATTTAATCGATGTTGATCATCTATTGATCCATATATTTAATAAAACTTAAGTGCAAATAATAACATTATTTATGATGATAAATTATATAAATATATTTTTATAAATATTATATTTAATCATGATCATAATATTTTATGTTTAATTATTGGAATGTTATTTCTTAATTTGATATAATCCCGTGAAAATGCGCGTGCTTTCCCTCCTTTATATTGATTAGTTGTTTAAATTTTTAAATTTTCAAAGCTTTGTAATGTACAATTTTAACATAAAAATAAATATAATTAATAATAATAAAAAAAAAAAAATATAAAAACAAAAAAATATATAAATTAATAAAATAAAAATTAAAAAAAAAAAATAAAAAAAAAAAATTAAAAATAAAATAATTTAGGCTTACTACGGGCCTCGGGAGCCTTAAGCTTACCTGGGTCCTAGTGCCGGTCCGGCCCACGGAAACGGGTCGTGACAGGTTTCATCTTGGATATAAAATTGAAATATTTAGAGATGTTGATCTATCTATATCCATATATTTACATAAAACTTAAGTGCAATAATAACATTTATTTAGATGATAAATAGTATTAAATATTTATATAATAATAATTATATAATCATGATCATAATATTTATGTTAATTATTGATATTTATTTCTTTAATTTGATATAATCCGTGCAAAGCGCGGCTTTCACCTAATTTATATTATTAGTGTTTAAAATTTAATTTTCATAATTTTAATGTACAATTTTAACAAATACCATTTCTTTATTGATGCTTTTATCAAACTATTCAAGTTAATGGGGATAAAATTATAGAAAAGGATATTTTATTTTTTAAAATTTTAGTTACATTAGTTCATTTTATTTAATGACATTAATATCCATTGATATGGATGAAACAAAATTTTTTTTTTTTTTAAAGAAGGAATGAGTCTCAGTTTATATTATTCAAATCGGTGGATGAAACATCAAATAAGAAAGAAGGTGCATACCCCCCATTTTATGCCAGACATAAAACTAGTCGCACTAGCAATTGTATAAGCAACTTGGTTGGCTGACCTTCTAATAAAAGCAAAAGAAATAAACCTCAGGTCATGTAAGAGAGTTTTCCATTTGTGAACTACTAAAGCAAAATAAGATAAATGTACTAGTAGAGATCCTAAAGCATGAACTAGAAACTTAACAGTCTGTCTCCACACAAATAGGAAAATAAGGTAAAGGCTTTAGCCAACTTATTGCCTTTCTAAAACACAAAGCCTCGCCGACCTGCGAATTTGAACAACCACGTTGAATAAGGAGTTTTTCTGCTCAAGAGAACCCGTGGCTATCTCTAATAACCATCCCCATGCCAAGGTATCCATTTGGAAGTACTGCCACATCGACATTACACTTAAATTTCTTCGGTTTAGAAGCCTTCCAACGCTGGTTTTTATTTGAAACAATATTTATTACGGAGTACTGTGAAATTAAAGTTATGTAGTAATTAACATAACTTAAAAAAGTACTTATATTTCTTATTTTCTAAAAATTTCTATATGTTATATTTAAAAAATATTTTTTAGGTCATGCTATGACATCGTGCGTAGTTAAAGTGAGTTTTAAATAAATGATGACTTCTATTTTATCAATTAGCCTTCATATTTAATGCTAATTTCATAACAAAATTATGTTTTAATATTTTAAAAACTAGATAATATAAGAGAAAAATTATAAATAATACTCAATATTATATGAAACAGTAATAAACAAAAATAAACAATGAATAAAAAATAGATTATAACAATATGCAATGCACGTCATAAAAAAACACTAATAAACATAAATATATATTCCTCAATTGGTAGAATTATTATTGAAATTAAAATGAATTATGATAATTATGGGAGATTTATCATAAATGGTATTTATATACTGGTTGAAACAAAAAATAAGAGATTTAAAAATTAAAATCATTTATTATTAATTGAGATTAAATTTTTATATCCAATGGCCTATATGATATTAGGCTGGTCACCACCTCTAGTGCGAAGCATCAAATGCAATATTGATGCCGTTGTGTTCATAGACTTATTAGCTGCGGGCTCTGATGCGGTTATAAAAATAGTACGCAACATACTAGAGAAGCTCGATATTCTAGGATATCCTATTTTTATTCTTGCTTCCATGTGTGGTATGAACTTCCCTCGATGTATTCAGGATATTGCTTTGCATTAATAAATATCCTATTTTGCTCAAAAAAAGAAAAAAAGGGAATTCAATTGGGTTAATTAGATTAATCCTAATTTGGCCTCAATAGTTAATACCAAAGGCGTCCCATGATCCAAGTGCTAAAAATGTGATTGAACCCAAGCGTAACTAACCCGGACTTGGTTCCAGCGCTGGTGGAGCCACTGGACCACTATGTACCATGGGCCTGACCGCCTGAGTCGCTGCATTGACAGGTATGACCTGCAACAAAATCTCCTAAGAGACAAACGTGCCTCAGATTCTTTATTCTTGTTTTCAGCCGAAAATAGACAAAGTAACAGTGAAGCATTTGACCGGTTACCGGTTCTTTCGGTGACTCACAATAGATTTTTCACACGTCCACTCGCACTCCTCCATCACACGGTCTAATCAAATATAGGATACCGTTTTAACATTGTGGGTCCACACGGTATTGTTTGGCTCGTGACATGGCGCGTGGAAATAACGCGTTGTATTGACTTCCTCAGTAAATTCAGTTTTGGGCTCTTCGTTTAGGGGAAAGTAGTAGATACAGATTTTAAACAAAGTGTACAGGAACTTACTTCCCTGAACATTGTCTGGCTGAGTACTTCACTTCTAGAGAGTTGGCTTAGATTACATTGTAAAGTGACCAATAAACTTATGACAAATCAGCATATGGTCAATTAGTTTAAGTAATTCCATAAATTTGCTTTTAGGTTTCCATTCTATTAATGTTGTACTATTTTCGTTAATAAAAATTTTAATTCTCAAAAGAAATTTGAAATATAACTGTTAACAATATTTTTTTTTTGTGAAAATAACTATTAACGATATTTAATTATATAAATTTTGTCATGTTTTATCATATCAATATATATTCTAAAGTTATTATATTATATAACTTTTTTTGTTTTTTTATATTCAACAGAGTATCATGTTACTAAATTAAAAAAAAAATTATCAAAATGTTATCATGACATAATTATCAGAACTATTAAAAAAATTAGAATTTAGAAATTCAAAATATAGGTCGTTTAAAATATAAATCGTTTAAAATTTTTGCATAAAGATTAATTAAGCAAATAAATTTTCTAAATTATAACAAACTTAAGAGTAATTTGACCAAATTATCCTTTATCTCAAAATTAATAGTTAGTTGCTTGTGAAATACTTATTTATTTACTGTAAACAAAGATAATATTAGAAAAACACCATATATTATTTCTTAAAATATACAAAACGACTTATATTTTGACACAAAATAACAAATCAAAAACTACTTATATTTTGGGATAGGGAGAGTATTATTATCACCCTCTTTAATCAATATTATCGCCACCAACACTATTTACTAAAATAAATTATCATTTTTTATTTAATAATAAATTTTTAAACATAAATTTTCAATATTTAATTTTTAATGTTTCAACTCAAGAACAAAAATTAATTATTTTAAAAATATTTTCTTAAAATTCTTAAAAATATTACTCAATAAAATTCATTGGAATAATGAGCGAAGTATTAATTTTTTTTTAAAAAAGTTGACCAAATATTGAATTTTTAATTTCACGTATAAGATAATTTAAATTCCACTTCTAGATATTAGTAATTTCATTTTTTCTCCAATTCTGAAATCAATAAGCTGAACCGCTCAACGAAGGCGTGGCAGATTTTAATACGATATGACCAGACTTTGACTAGAACTGGTCGTAGAGAACAAAACCCTCATTTCTCCACTCCCTCTCCTTCACTAGGCTGTCCTCTCTCTCCCTCTCTAGCCATAAGTAGGTGAAAAGCAAAGACTCCCTCTTTATCTCTCTCGCAGATTACAGGTTACCATATTACTACACAACCACTACTGTTGCCCTCTACCTAATCCAATACCTAAAGCCACATTCAACAATAAAATAAAATTTCCATAAACGAATAAAGAAGCTACCTAAGCGAGAAAGTGAAAGAAAAATGAACGGAAAGTGAGAGAAAATAAGAACAAATTCAGTTATTACTCATTCATTTGCCAATTTATGAAGATGCTGTGGTAGCTCTGCTTTGCTTCCTCTTCTTTCTTCTTTTTTACTGTTTAGTTATCAAATCAAAAACCCTAAATACATTTCACCCACTTTCTAGATCTTGAACCGATTGTTAAGTCTTGAGTTACCTTTCCGATCTAGTAAATCACTGTCGATGTGAAACTCGGCTCCGGCGAGTTGAGCTAATGGAGGACTCAGGCGATTCAGTTTGTTGAAATGTTAAGCATTTTGAATTATTGTAGTAGTATTTTGGTTGAGCCAAGTTCCAATGTCGGCTTCTTTAGCGGCTTTCGAGCGGCCAAGAGCCGGAGCTTCGAATACGGTACGGCTTTTCTTCTGGTTAATAGGAAAGTGAAAGAATATTTTTGGATCTTATGTTGTGTTTGCGTGTCTTAGGATATGGGAAGTAACTTAAACGGTTTTCGGTTATTTCGAGGATAGTATAAGATTTGATTTATTTCCTTTGTGCATTTCCTTCGTTGGATAAGATTGGATAACTGAGATTGAAGTACATTTCCTTGTTTACTTTTCTGTTTGGATGCTGCGAATCATGGAGAACTGGGAATTGGAATTAATTTATGGAGCTTCATTATCTGGAAAAAAATCAATTCAAATGACATTCTCTGTTTATACGAGGGTCCCCTTTTCTTAAGTGGTATTGTCAAATTTTGAAATTGAATTCAGGATTTCTAATTAATTTCAATTCCATTATTTTCACAGGCTATAAAAGAATCTGGTTAATGGAAAGTTGTTTACCTGTTATTGACAAAGTCAAATAAATGCCTGTAAGAAACATAAGATATGATACTGGGTTAAATGTAATGCAGTGCTATTTTTATGAATTTCATTGTTGAATCTAAATTGCTTTTCAAATTGTCTATAGGGAAGAAGATTTGGTAAACTTCTTTTTGATTTTGATGTGTTAAAATCATTGTTTAATTTGACATCACTGTCAGTGGTAAAGTCACATCTGTGACTCTAACAAAATGTGATCCCATGTCTTTAACATTAACTTTCTTGAAATATCTTTACTTGGCATAAAATTGTAGTGACCAATTCTCACAATTTTTCAAACAATCTTCAAAATTGTTTGGAAATATGAGACTTTTTAATTAATAATGCATCATAAATATTTTATTTGTTTGGACAGAAAATTCTATTCGAGGCTAAGCATATTTTCTTTCTATTGAATTTAAAAAAGTAAATGACAATTACCTCCATGCTTTAATGGAAGGAAACTTTTACCTGCCTGTACTTGAAATTGTAACAAATGGAGTAAACAAAGGCTGATAAGGATTCTGAAATCTTAGATGCTGCATGAAAACTCTAATTCTGTGGCATTATTATTAATGTATCAGATTCTGAAAGCTGCACTCCTAAAGTCATGGATTTTTAATACATTGTGAACAAAAAGGACTGTGTTGAACCTTGCCATGATTTTCTTTGTTCATTTTAAACTAGGTATGAATCCATGCAATTGAAGGGATTGATGTGAGTAAAATTGTCCTAGGGAATGTGTTTCCTGTAACATGTGCATGAAATGAATATAAAAGCTAAAATGCATAATGTGATGTACAGAAAAGGAATAATTTTTTATAGTTAATTAGATTCTATGCTTCATTATCATGAGAGAGAGAAGAAAAAAAAGATAAATTTTTTTAAGTAATTTCCATGCTTAAGGTAAGTTCAAGAGAGACTTCTACTTTTGTTAAGAAAATTAACTGATGACCAATGAGCTTGGGTCAAGGGTTGTGGCCCGTGAGATTGTGGGTTCAAACCCTAATAACATCCAATTTAACTAAAAAAACAAAAAGAAAAGAAGAAAAAAGGATTGTAATTGGGTCTAGTTAATTGAATATCACTTATTTATTGAAGTGTCAAGTGTGAGTTAAATATTTTTGATTTTATTGATCGTCTATCCCCTATTTGTTTAATGAAATTAGAAAGTAATATGCAAACAACACCATAATTTTGTATGTTTCCTTAAAGTTTACTTTTTGAACTTTGGCGTATAATCATCTAACATGAGATGACTTTGACTGTTTGACAGGTTTTCAAGAGTGGTCCTCTTTTCATTTCGTCAAAAGGCCAGTGATGTGTTTTTTGCTTATTTTCCAATTTCATTCTTCTCCTCCTTGCCTTGGTTTCTTGAGGATTTTAAAGATTATATATATGTTTTTTGATAAGTACTTCATGCTTTAATTTTGAGATTATTTTGTAAATTATTTGTGTCTCCAGGCATTGTCTGAATAAAAATGGTTTTCTGCAATAAAGCATGTATATTGATTTATGCTTAAATATGAATCTTGATGCCAGTCCTTGATGTAAGGTTATTCATTTACAAAATGATGCACAAAACTTTTGAATGGTTTCTGTGCTTAGTTCTGTCAAACTTGCCAACTAGTCTTTTAATAATTTCTTGAGTCCATTTGGTCTTTTGAGGTTACGGGATCATACCAAGACTAATTTCAATAGCTATTTGTGCTTAGTGCTTGTTAATTTCCTAAATACTGCTGTTATTTATGGATGTTTGTTGGCTATGTCATGGCTCTCTAATGGACAAGTTCTATTGGGAATTATTTAGTTGTAGTGGTATTATACTGTGTAATTTTCGGTGACTCTTGTCATTAGAGAGACCATTCATTATGTAAGTATTTTGAGTGGAAATTGCATTAGGAGGCTTTGTTTCTAATACTTAGTCATTCTGAATTATGGCATCTCTTTTGGAACCTTAAATATGCTTGGTGCTTGTGTTTGAATTTCAGTAATTGCTGAGAAATTGGAATATTAAACAAATTAATTTCAAGAGGAATACTTACAGCCTTTTTGTAACAACAACAAGAACAACCAAGCCTTAGTTCCAAACTAGTGGAACCTGTTTGTAACAAATGAATTAGAAATGTAGAATTCCTTTCTAAAGAATTTCTCATGTTTAGAATGACATAGCTCAAAACAGGAAATTTTAATTGAATTTCATATTTTTCTGTTTGGAATGAGCCTAGAATTGAATGTTCTTGTCCTTACTAAAATATCCTTAATATAAAACTTGGAAAACAATATTATGACTAAAAAAAAAAAAAAAAATGAGCCTAGAATTGAATGTGTCTTGTCCGTTACTAAAATAATCCTTAATATAAAACTTGGAAAACATATATATGACTAAAAAAAAAAAAAAATCAAATATATAATCTATTATCAACTTCAATTTTTAAAAATAATTAAAAAATTTAGTTTAAGAGAGGTAGGAAAAAAAAAACCTTGAAGACAGAAAAAATAAAAGATAAAAAAAAGAGAGAAGAGAGAAGAGAAGAGAGAGAGAGAGAGAGAGAGAGAGAAAGAGAGAGAGAGCAGGGGGAAGGGAGAGAGAAGAAGAAGAAAAAAGCAGCAGCAGGAGGAGGAGGAGATGAATGGGCATTATTATCTATGAAACAAGGTTTTTTTTAAGTATTAAAGGGAAAAAAAAAGAGAGAGAGAGAGAGAGAGAGAGAGAGAGAGAGAGAGAGAAAGAGAGAGAGAGCAGGGGGAAGGGAGAGAGAAGAAGAAGAAAAAGCAGCAGCAGGAGGAGGAGGAGATGATATGGGCATTATTATCTATGAAACAAGGTTTTTTTAGTATTAAGGGATTATTTGGAAATTCCACCTATATTTTAAACTTAGCTTAGTTATGTTTAATTCTATAGAATTGAGTTTTGAACAATTTTAAATGTTACAAAAATAAAAACTTGAAATTCTAAGTAAATTCTGCAAAATTTTGCAGAACTCATTTGTTCCAAATGGGTTGCCAGTGTAATATTTTGTTATTCCTGTTTTCCATGATAATGTGCATGAATAGAATAGGTATTTTTGTTGATTGAGATGAAAGCAATAATTTCTTGAAAGACATTAGCGAATTCAAGGAAATTGGGTATTGGAACATGATTTTGCTAGAGCATGAAGGATGTTCTCTTGCTGATTAGTCAGTGCCAAGTTGTTTATATTACCTTAATTGTGTTGAAAGATAAAACTGTTAGTTTGTGTACTTCTGAAATTGTAAGATAAGGACATGCTTTTCCAACTAACAGTTGGTGGCTAATGCCCTGTCATGACCTCCATTACTATCTTTCTCAATTTAATACTTGAGTGAGTAGATTATTTTATCTAGCAAATTGAGTTTTATTTCAGCCCCATCGATTAAATATTGCTGGCATGTGTGTGAACATATTGAACTTATTAGATCTTATGTGGAGCTTAGAGAATTAAGGACTGATTACATATATATGTGCTTCAGGAAAATTTTGGGGTTCAGTTATGTATAAAAGATGAACTCAGATTCCATTAGTTTCACAGATAGCAATAAACCGGCAGAGAATTTAGGTTTCGGAGCCCTTTAGAAACAAAGAGGCAGGAGGCAAGGGCTTGTATTTTCTCAGTATCTTGAAGCTTAATTCGGAGAGTGAAGCTATTTGGTGTTAAATTAACTATTTCATAGCCATTCTGCACCTGCTCATGTATGCTGCATATCTTTCTTTTCTTACCAAAGAGGCTAAAGAAAAATGTGCATTCACTAAAATCGGAACTAACTTGGGGATGGATCTAGCATAAACTATCATCTTTCCTGCACCCATTAGTTCATATTTTTTGGAACGATGAGATACTAAAGTAATTATCGATTGCACCCAGAGTTCTAATAAATAATAGTGTATTATTTGTAAATATCAAGTTGTACCAATAATATCAATTCAATTCCATCATATTGCCATAAAGCTTGCAATATATATATATATATATATATATATATATTGCCACTCAATTATATTATTGTTGAATATCTGCAGGATTAGGCTGGAAATCGTGGAAGAAACGGTGGTTTATCTTGACTCGCACTTCCTTGGTGTTCTTTAAAAATGATCCTGTTAGTACTTTATTTATTTTATATTACTCCTGTCCAATTTTTATTTGTAACTTTTTCATTGTTTTGTGTTGTCTATAATTTTTTAATTTGCAGCCTCTAAAAGATAGATATTAACTATTAAGGAATCTGAATAAGATAGTTGTAAATTGAACTCTGAAATTGCCATGTAACAGAACTTCTTGCTCTGATTTATTTATGCAATTGTCTTTATGAGTACCTGTGTTTTCTTTTTTCCAAGCGAATCATTTAGTCTTAGCTTGTTATGTGGAAATATTCTCTGAAGACATATTTTAAATTCTAGTCTTGGAAGGAAAATTGGTTAGCAGAAGACAGTGTACTGTTTAAATGAAAAACTAAGCCTTTTTCAAGAAAAATAAGCCCATTTTTCTTATGGTGACAGTTTTTACGCACTCTATGGGATTGTCTGTTTCAAAGTGAAAAACAATCGCTTCATCTTATTTATCACAGTATCTTGATATTAACATTTTTTGTGATTATTCATTTATTGTTCTGGATCATTATGAATTAATTGAAATAAAATTTGTGTTTGATTGGTATGCAGAGTGCTCTGCCGCAAAGAGGTGGTGAAGTAAATTTAACTTTGGGGGGCATTGACTTGAATAATTCAGGGAGGTATGTTTACTGAACAGACCCTCATTGGAAGTGATTTCTTATGAATATGGCTAATGGTTTTTACTCTTGTGCAGTGTTGTTGTCAGAGAGGATAAGAAGTTATTAACTGTCTTGTTTCCTGATGGACGTGATGGGCGAGCATTCACCCTCAAGGTGCTTCTTTTTCTGCTCTTCCTGATATTGATTTCTGTTTTTCGTACTACATTATGTTTTTCTTTTTTCTGTTAAGATGTTAGGCATGTGGCATCTTGCATTCTCTCTTCAAATTTTATGAACCATTGTTCAGTATGTAAGTTCTTTTTTGGTTTTCCTCCTCTAATTTCAGGCTGAGACGTCCGAAGATTTGTATGAGTGGAAGACAGCCCTAGAACATGCCCTTGCGCAAGCACCAAGTGCTGCCCTTGTTATGGGACATAATGGAATTTTTCGAAGTGATACAAATGAAGCAATTGAAGGATCTTTCCATCAATGTTTGTACTTCACTGCTTCTCCACTTAGTCATATGCCATTTTTTCTGCTAGTTTTTCTAGACTTGCTGATTCTTTATTCTGCATATTTTGATTAGGGAGGGATAAACGTCCTGTTAAATCATTGGTTGTTGGAAGGCCAATTTTGCTTGCCCTTGAAGATATTGATGGAGGACCATCATTCCTCGAGAAAGCTCTTAGATTTCTTGAGAAATTTGGTGAGTTATTTATGATTCTAAATTGTGTGGAAGTTGATGTTTTAAGTTTCTCATAGTGGAAACTGGAGCATTTCTGGTATACCATTCTTCAAGATTCTAGTGATCATCCCAAAAAGGGAAAAAAGAAACAAGATACATTAAGAATTTCAATATTTTGGATGATTTTGTTTTATTGTATGTAAATGTGTGCAGACATCTCGTCAAATGTCCAATTGTTTGGTTATGATAATAATCTGAGAGGGATACCTGTTGGATTGTATGATTTTTGTGGGAAGGAAAATTAATCTTGTTAAGAGCTGCATTTTTACACGCTCATTGGGTAGGCACAGAATTCTTTTGGAGATTCTAATTAGACCATATTATACCTGAAGAATTATTTATTGTGAAATTAGCTTCCTTCCTTAAGGGATTAAGATAAGGGATTTACAAACTCAATATTGGAGCAAACTAGTTAATCTATATAAATTGAGAATTCCAATTTCCCCGCAAGTTGAAGAGCTTACTTTCATGGCTATATATGTTCACTTTTATTTTTGGGAGGTTATCTTGAATAATTCTATTGTCACACTGTATAGATAGTTCTATCACTGCACTAGGGATGACTCTCCGCAGGACAAAATAAAATCAAAGAAGTAATGCAATTACAACTATTTTACAAATGTCATTACTTTGTTTACAAAAATCTATTGTTGATGATACGGATATTTTTGCAGGTAATGCCTGTTATCACATACTTCAGCACCATTGTTGATGATTCAACCATTATGACCCCCTATAACCAAAGTATCACTACCATCAAAGCTTTGTAACTGAATATAGTTGATACTACTAATATTACTAAAAACCATTGCTGCTGCCATACTTTAATCATCACCACTCCTATGCTTCCGCTAAATAACTACATATGGGAATTCAAATCTGATTGCATTAGTACTTTATTTTTTGTAACCGAATATAATTTTTCAATGGAATGGTCGTTATATTTGTCATTCTATTCCTTATTTTATCACATTGTCAATAATGTTCCATTCCATTATCTCCTGCCAGATGTATCTTGACCTGTGACATTCATGTGACACGATATCATTGGTTTATATATCTACAAGAACCTTCTTGCTGTAAAGTGCATTGCAAAATGCTAATGGGCGTGATACATACTGCTTGCATAACCTTGTAACAGTGTGGTAGTTTAATTGGTCAGAGCCTATAACTTGAAAACTGTGGAATTGAGCCCTGTCAGTCCCGGATTTTGAATTGGAGAAGGGTGGTGGAATAATGGGCCTACGTACATTTTTGCACACTCCTGTTATTGATACTCATTGTGAGATACCTTTCGTGCAGGAACTAAAGTTGAAGGAATTTTGCGACAGTCTGCTGATGTTGAGGAGGTTGAACGCAGAGTTCAAGAATATGAACAAGGTATCTTTTCTATTCAATGTTTCCCTTAAATATGGATAATGACTCAACTTTGCTGCCTAAATGGATATTTCCTCAATCATTATGTTTTTGTTATGCTACATTTAAGCACTTGCATTCCATATATTTGAACCAAGGTTTCATTACTAATTTCTGCTTGACCATTACCAGGAAAGTCTGAATTTGAACGGCCATACAGTCAACCAGTTTGTAGCGTCTCGGTCCGGTTCATTCGGGTTTACGGGTGGACCGGGAAGGGGTGTTACAATTCATTGCTAGGATCAATCAGTAATAATAGCTTTAGAATCTGTGGGTGTAGTTTCCATTAATAAAAAAAACAAAATACCCCAACAGCAACCAATTAATAGCACGAACCCAACAGAACAGTAGCAACACCAAAAGGAACCGAAAGCCGCAAACAGCAATAGCAAAAAACAAAAAAAGCGCCTACCAGATGCTGCCGGAACCAAAAACTAACCACTGGAAAAGAATCTGGACATCGAGTCGATCCTGGGGGATGAAATCCGGTCACCAAAAACTACCGGACGCGACTCCACTAAGGATTAGTTGTAAATAGAGTTCTATTAGGAGTTAAATTCCTAATTAGTTTATTATTTGAATTCCTAAATAGCTAGGTAGCTTAGGAATTCCTTATATATAGACCTATGTAATCGATTGATGAGATATAAGAAATACAATTACAATATAATCTCTCAACATGGTGTCAGAGCCTTCCATTAAAAAAAAAAAAAAAAAAAGGAAATTTCCCGAAACTTCCCTTACGAGAAGCCACTGCCACCCTAGGAAGCCTTTCTAGGGTTAGTATGTTAGTATTTTGCCTCACCGCCCACCCCAGGATATTCTCCAGCCGCCGATCAGCGACTCCCCAGAATCCGGTCGCCGGATTCCAAGCGAATGGCCACCACTCCCACCTCTTTCTTCCTGCCCTGGTTCACGCGCTGGCATGTCCAGTGGTCTTTTTCACTTCGGTTCCTCTCTCCGGCGTTGACTTGAAGAGAGACATGCAACCTAGTGAGTTGCATTGTCATTCTTGGGCTTATTCAATAGGTTTGTTTGCTGCGATTCTGTTGCAGCTGTGTCGGGCAGTCTTCTGCTACTGTTGTTGCTTTTGCAGTTACAGGTATTCTGCTTTTGAACCTTCTCCTTTATAGAGAGCAGTGCAACCCCAGTGAGTTGCATGGTGTTCTTGGCCTTCAGTGGTGTGCTCCGTTTGCCAAATTTTCCTTTGCTGCGTTTCTGAATATATGCGGACTGGGCTTCCTCTTTGAGGCATTGATTATAAGAGCATGCAACCCCAAATGAGTTTTGCAAATGGTGTTTTTGGCCTTCAGTGGTGTGCTCCGTTTGCCAGATTTTCCTTTGCATGCAATTTTTCTGAATATCTGCGGACTGGGCTTCCTCTTTGAGGCATTTGATTATGGAAGCTTGAAACAGCCCCTGTGAGTTGTTTTTCTGGTCCGGTGAAGATTGTGTTTCGACAACCTAAGTGTGTTGTCTTAAATTCTGTTGCTTACTATTTGGTTTTGGGATTCTTATATTGCGCTATAATGAAGTGGGGTTAACAGTGCTGAGTATGGTATTGTGCTTTGTGAAAGTAAAGTATTTGTTAACAAGTTGAGCATGATTAACATCTATCCCAACTTGAGGGGAGTGTTAAGGATTTAGTTGTAATAGAGTTCTATTAGGATTAGAATTCCTAATTAGTTTATGTTTGTAATTCCTAAAATAGCTAGGTAGCATAGGAATTCCTTATATATAGAGCTATGTAATCGATTGATGAGATACAAGAAATACAACTACAATATTTTTCTATCAACAAAACCCATTAAAAAGGTTGCTCAAATGTTCATAGTTTTGCTACTAAGGTCTTAGACTCTAGTTGCTTTCTACTTCAACTTCTTGATTTGTCCTATCAATTACCATTTAACTTATAGAAACAGACTATTGGATATCTGATTGAAGTCCACTGTGGCAGGAAAATTTGTAAAAGAATGAATACTAACATTTGTTATTTGCTGATATGAGAAAAATAGAAAAGGAGACGGGAAAAAAAAATATTTCACTATCTACACATTTTTTTGGTCAGGGTCAGCATGCTCAGTGAGTAACCACTCACATACAGTGGCTTGTTTAGTATATCCATTTAACATCGTACACTTTGTACATGGTAGGACCAGATTGAGCAATTAAGGGACTCAATAGAACACAATTAAGGGACTCAATAGAACACAATTTCACTTAGATGGCTCACTGTCAAAGAACACATAGTTGAGGGTGCTTCTTACTTCTTAATGATTTCTGCTGTTAAATTTTGATTTGTGATGGAGGTTTATAATTTTAATTCTATTTTTGTTAATATTTTGAATGGTGTAGGGTTTCATCTAATTTAATTGAATTTTATTTGATCAGATCTAATTATTAAAAAAAAAAATTGTATCTTTTAATTAATTTATTTACACCTATATTATAAATTAGGATACGTTTCTAATTTTTTCATTGCTTATAAGAATTCAGAAAAAAAGATTTTGATCTTAGTTTTGTGTTGTAGTATATTCATGTGATAATTATGTTATTTTGGCATATATGACAAGTATGAGTTGGCAAATATTATATAATAATTTGTGCATAATCTGCCATAGACCAACAAAGTATATCTGTATAAAGTTTGTGATGCATTTTTCTAATACAAATTTTCACATGCTAAAAATTACTGAGAAAAGCATGTGACTTGAAATCATTGTGAATAACATTCAATCAGGAATTAAGATAACTTTTAAAATGGGAATAATACAAAGGCTTGCTAAGAAGCACTGTGTCTATTCTCAAAGTTTATTAATGATATTTATGTGTGCATATGGGTTTGGATTTTGTTAATGTGTCTTGTTATCTTGCTAGTGAGTGTCTGGTTAGATGTTGATATTGTTATTTTACTGTTTTATTGAATTAGAAATTGATCGTAAAGAAACTCGGATTAATTCAATGCGTTCTGCAATATTAGAGACGTTTCCTGAACCAAACCGACGTTTATTACAGAGGTAATCTCTCGATTGATCTTTTTTACTTGGTTTTCTTATCTGTCAAGCTTTCTTTGGTATAGATCTTCATGCTTATTTATTCAGATTTGAGTTGGAAATTAAAATCTCAAGTTTGCTATGCAACTCATAGTTTCCTTATGTGTTATAATCATTACATTGATATTGTGTGTGTTTTTCATGAAGTTGGAGATGTTTTATCTTTTACTGATGAATGTGAATGTAGAAATATTCTTATGGTAATGCCTAATGAGCCCTATGCATTGAGCATAATCAAGATTTTTTTGTCAAATTATACTTTTGTGTATTAGACTGCAATGATGAACTAATGCTATTCTATTTAACTCCCAGAGGCTTACACTGCAGAAAGTAGAGGATTAGCTTGCATTGCAAGTGTATATGGCTTCATTGGGCAATTGCTGTTCTTTCTGCTTTGTTGTGCATTGAAAACCAAAAACTTTTAAGTAGTTCTAAGAATGTGTAAAAGGGACAGGACCTTGTGAAGGAATTTGTGGTAGTCATTAGCGGTGTTGCAAAAGGTTCTTCTGCATTCTAAAGTCATTTCCTCATCCTGCTTAGGATCAGAGTTTCTTACAGGCCAACCTCATTCACTGGTCAGTCTGGCATCAGGATTACATGTTCCTCGTATAGTATAATCTTTAGTGATCTCTATTTTTCCATTGTTTTCTATAGGAGAAAATAATATGCCAAAGAGGAAGAAGCATGCTTGTTTATGAATTTAAATGCAGCTGCAGGCTCTGAGAATTTGTAAACTTTTGTACTTTGTCAGCCTATTCTTTTCATAAATGCCACTGCTCTGGAAGCTTGCAATTCAGTAACAAATTTTCTAGTGTTGGCATTCATATTTTGAAATGCTCTTTAAAGCTACTTAATTTGTGATTAAGGGTCTTTGATTGTCTTCAGTGTGTTATTTGTGCATCCATTTTTTTCTTTTCTTTTTATTTTCATTTCACTTGATACTTTGCAGAATTCTTAAAATGATGCACACAATCTCATCTCATGCTAATGAGAATCGAATGACTGCATCTGCTGTTGCTGCTTGCATGGCACCCTTGCTACTGCGTCCTCTGTTAGCTGGTGAATGTGAGTTGGAGGATGACTTTGATATTAATGGTGATAGTTCTGCACAGCTTCTTGCTGCTGCAAATGCTGCTAATAATGCTCAAGCCATCATTACCACTCTTTTAGAGGAGTATGAGAATATTTTTGATGTAAGATACTATCCATTTGTTTGCTTGATAGTGGGAAGCTTGTTTAATTACTTATGCATGTTTGAATGAAATATTCTTTCAAATGGACACGTTTATGGATCATAATTGAGTGAAAAATGTGCTAATTGAAAAGCAGTCTTAGAGCAAAGTTCTTGACCTGGTATATGGTAATCAACGGGTTACTATTCCTATCAATGGATGCTGATGTTTTCTCATTTAAACAAAATAATATGGAACTGTGGGCTCAGAGCACCATATGTATTGCAGGAAAGATATAATTTCTTATTTTCATCTCCCTTGTTTTTCTTCCCTTTATTTTTTGTTTGAGAGTTTGGAGGGAAATTATTAGGAGGTTCAGTGATGGAGAGTAAATCTTTCTCTGCTCTTATGCAATACTAATAGTTGGATCAGAAATTTTAAACTTTGGCATCACATGATAGTTTTTGTGAATGCTTTTGATATTTGATTCTTTTGATTAATTTATATGGTCGCTTAATAACTTATGCATCAATATTGGAAACAATTGGAGAAAACTGAATCAAGGAATCGATAAGGATTTACTGAGCTGATATTGCTTCTTCAAGTTGGAAAGCTAGTTTCTGTTAGTGTTTAATATCTGATATTAAGCAACTGCTTTTTCTTTTACATTGATCAGGTTCAAGTTATGCCACATGCTGATTGGACTAAAATTTTATGCAGAACTAGGTTGAGTCAATTCAATCATATTCACTGAAACCTGTCTGACCCTGAATGTGCCTGTTCAGGTTTCAACATAGTCATACTGTAGTTGGTCTCATAACAAACAAGTGCCATGTTTACTGGGACTCGTTAGACTGGTTTGGCCAGTCTGGATTGAATAACTATACTGATTTATGATGTCAAGAAAGGAGTATAAGTAAAGATTCCAGAGGGAAGCTGGTGAAGTATGTGGATGGAATTATCTTTGCTCTTTATATGCCACTTGGGAAGAGGCTTGTCAATCTTATATGTGATATATTCATCTGCTTTCACTTTGGCATTGGCTAAATATCTTACAAAATTGAAGTTTCTATAAACGATATTGTTTTATCCTTGTTCTAGTAATGATGCCTAGCTCTTATCCGTTATTTCAGGATGAAAATCTACATAGGTGTTCTATCTCTGCTGATTCCCGGATTGAAAACAGTGGTAGTGAAGATTCATCTGATGATGAAACTATGGATGTAAAGGAAAATGGTTATCATGATGCAGAAAATGAAGCTGATCAAGAAACTGATGATGATGCTGAAAGAGTACTCAGTGGCAAATTAAGTGAGAGCAGTGGTTATGCTGGCAGTGATCTTTATGACTACAAGGTTGAGGTTGTCTTTTCTACAGAAGTATTCCCATATATTTCTGACTGCTCTCCCATCCATTTTAAATTAGTAACTAGTTCAACCTATTGTCATGTGACTGCACTGGTCTAAGACTGATGCTGCTTGGAATTCTAGACAGATTCCTAGTGTCATTATTTTAATTTCAAGCTGTGATACATAACATAAGCTTCCTGCTGCCATTAGTTGGCAATCGGTTCATTTCGTGTTTGGGACTTCATCCTAGTTTAGGCATCTTATTGAAAATCTATTTACTGCTCATTGCAAGTGGCAGTGCTCAATCTTTAATATTACTTCTCTTCAAAAGTTATGTTTGGATATCCTTCGGCTGATGAAAATAATATGTAAGGTAATTTTAGTTTTTGATTGTGGTACAAGACTTATGTGGGATATCATAAGTCAGCAATTTTTCTTTTCTTTACTATTTTTTTCCTTTTTTCTGGATCACTAGAAAGAGTAATTAGTGATTAACAGATGAAATCAAATGGGTGTGACCTGTTCAAGCAGTGATACCCATCTGAATGGAATTTATATATCATAAATGAAATAGAATACTACATGAATGAAAATATGGAATTCAGATCAGCTGAATTACTCCTTTTATGCTCTTCTACATCCTAGGTAATTCTTTTTTTCTTTTTATTTATTTATTTATTTTTTTTGATATACAAATTTTTTATAATAGTATCAGTGGAGTCAGCATTACTAGTTTCTTGATGACTAAAGACAATTCACTTCACCAAAAGTACAAGGGGAAAAAAAGAAAGAAATAAAAATATTTAAAAAAGGTTTGTCAAAGGAATATGATCACAAAAAAATGATGTCTTAAAATATCTAAAGAATGTGTGACATATTTACACTCATCTGTCTGAGATTTGATATTTTTTGAAGCCCCATGCCTAAGTTATACCTTAGCATAATCAACAAGATGGCATCCACATCTCTTACATTTTACTCATCTCACAAATTGAAGTTGGCGGCATTATTTTGTTTGGCTGATGTCTAATGGAATGTTTATCACATTGATAAATATTTTGCTACTTCAGCAGTTCATTAGCGATTTCCTTGCTTCAGACTCCTGTTCTGGGTAGATGACATTTTCTTCTCCTTAAGATCCAACCTTGATTATGATTATGTAGTGACTACGTGGTCACAGTTAAGGTTGGATCTTATTTATCTAGATTTTCTTACACTGCTCTGTTACTGGTAAATGGGAACCAGAATGCTTGATGTGCTAGAGGAACAGTGGGTTGGGAAAGAAAAGCATAATGCTTTTGGCTTTGATGTGGTTCTATGCTTGCAGTGAAAAACGTTTATTCTGTTGGAAAGAAAATCCAAGATATTTTCTTTTTCTAGTGCTGGAATTTAAGTAATCCAGTCAAGGGGAAAACTACATTTCTGTGGATCTTGGATCCTGTTTGTTTGGGATGATTTCCCTTTCATCAAGATTCTTATCTACTTGATCTCACTTCACCCTGCCAAATTATTTTTCAGACACTTGTTGCTGAGATATAATCTTATTGATCTGTATTTACTCTATTTGTTCACGTGCAGGCTTTTGGTGGGGATGATTCCGATGATGGATCGCCGAGAAATAATCATGCTTCAGCTGAGAGTTCAAACTTACAAGTTGATTCTGTCCAAACTAGAGATCCTAATGTTCAAACCAGGGAACAACCAAATAAACTAAAGAAAGGAAATGAGAATTCAATTAATGAGATGGATGTTTCAAATGTGTCACCTACTGGTGAATCTTACCGGTCAATGGGGGAAATTCTATCTTCAATGGATCCTGTCCCATCTTTACCCATATCTGGCCCTGAATCATCTGCGGAGAAGCCAGCTGGTAAAGTTGCAACCTCCAATCTCAATGGAAAGCGGTCAGCATTTTGGGGAAGAAGTAATGTAAGTCATTATCTGTCGATGTACTTTATGGCCACATATTGGCTAGATGGAAAGATAAATCACATGCAGTTGATGATATAATGTTTTAAGTTGATGTCTTGCTTTCAGAAGGGCACATCCTTTTCTTTATTTTGTTCATTTCTTTACCCATTTATTTTGTTCCATACAGTGTATATCTTACCCTCAACTAAAATGATTCTCATCTTCTCTTATGTATAGATATCTCTTTCATCAAGAAAATAATAACAAAAGGGTGTACATTAACACTGTTTAACTAGAGGAATATAAAGTAGGAAGAAAAGGTGATTAGTTTTCCCTTCTTTTTGGATTGGGTAGAAAATGGGAGAAGGAAAATTAAACTTCCCTTATTTGGAAAGCTAAGAAAAGTGGAGTGATATAAGACTGGAAGTATTAAAAATTGCAATTGTGCTCTTATTTAATCTAGTTCAAAATAACGTGGATAATCAGGCAGTTTCCCAAGAAAAATAAGCTGATTGGTGAAATTTTCCATCCCCCTATTTTGGAGAGAAGGATTTGGGTGGCCCCGAGGATTTTGGACAACTCATCCTCACTTTCTCTTCTTGTGGTTTCAGCCTTTTCCATTGGCAATGCTATTTTGCCCCTCCCCTATTTTTGCACTCTCTCTCTCCTTCTCTCACTCTCTCACTCTCTCTCTTCCCAGTCTTTTCAATCTTCCCAAACAAGTGATTAAAAGTGTTTTTAAAATGATTTAAGATGATTGAGAATGGTCGAGTATGAATTTGATGTCAAGTTTGCATGATTGACCAAATTAGTCAATGATTGATATTGTATGGATTAGATATTCTGGTATATGAAAGATGATTATGTTAATTAAGTGTTAGAAGATTTGTTATGCATAAACCAGTGGTGGATGAAGTTAAGAATGCTTAAGAAAGTAAAGTAAGTCTATTACAATTGAGTATCTTGAAATTCAGTCACCAAGATTGATTTAGTTAAATAGGTAAACGAACTCCAAAAATTATGAAAGTTTACAGAGAAGTGTGTTATGATGTTGGGAAGGTTGTGGTTAAAGGGCAAGTGCATTGGATAAAGGGAAATAAAGTTATAGCTAGATTTATGCAGGCTGCTCATTGGAAAGGGAAACATCTATGCATGTATGCAAGGTTTACCAATATGACTTTTGTCAATCTGTTTTTTTATGTTATTGGGTTGGTGGCTTGGAAATTTGGAAGAGGAAGTGCATGACATCCTTCAGAGAAATTGTAGTGTAGTGTGAAATTATCTCTCGACATTGGTTATACACTCAGCTAAAGCTGTTTATTCTCCTCAAGGTTTTTAACATTGGTTTTGCCTAGGTTTTCTTTGACATGAGTGAAAAAATGATGTTAATTTCAGTTCCAACAGTTTCATTTGTGTAAAGCAAAATTAGACATCTAATGTATTTTTTTTTTGAACTCTATACAGGCCAGAAAGACACCATCAGTGGAGTCAGTTGATTCTTCCGGCGAAGAAGAGTAAGATACTATTTATGTACATTCTCTTTAACAGCATTCGCACTATGAATTGCAAAATTTGTATTCAGGTGTATGTTTCTTTGGCTTATGCTGTCTGTCAAGCAAGTTCAGTTATGGTATCTGCCTTAACATTGATAACTTAACATTCTATGAGAAATAATGGTTTTCAAATGGGTTAATAATATTATTGTTGTAAAAACAATTCAGCATAATGTAATACCTATTATCCCTGGTTTCACTATTTCTTGTTTATTTTATTTTATTTTATATTCTCCTTCAAAATCTGTGAGACTTAAAATTGTAAACTCGAAATATGTCAAGGTAAATCATAAGTTTAGATCAAAGTTAAACCTATAAATAATAAATTGGACCTAAGAAAGGAGTTTGCACAAACTAAATTGAATTTTTGCTAAATTGTTTCTGTTGCACAAGTACCAATGTAATTTTCTGTTGATCCAACTCTGTCATTTTATATTTCTGCCAGAAATGAGTGAAAATACAGATGACTGTTAACAGTTTAGTTTAGTGTAACCGTTTTTCTTGAATGCTTTTCTTGCATTAGCTTGGAAGTTCAGCTTTCTTTTTGTTTTATATTTGATATGGTCTATATTGGTAATCTAATCTAATCTAGTTTAACAAAACTGAATTATATTATTTGTAGACTTGCTATTCAGAGACTTGAGATCACAAAAAATGACTTGAAGCAAAGGATTGCGAAGGAGGTCTAATTACTTTCTTTAAACCTGATTTATGCTTAATTATGGAATATTTACATTTGTCTAACAAGATTTGCTGTTCATCTTTTTAGGCAAGAGGAAATGCAATTTTACAAGCTAGCTTAGAGAGGAGGAAACAAGCTTTGCATGAGCGACGTTTGGCGCTTGAACAAGATGTACTTATTTCCAACTCATTACATTTTGCATCCTCTTAAATTTTAGCGGGTTTTATTTTTATATACCTTTTGCATCAAATGTTAGCTTTCTAGAAACCTTATGCATTTATACCTTTTCATTGTTGCTTCTTCAGTACACATATTGTACTTGTATGCAATCTAGCTTAAGATGGTTCCAACTTACAAGAACTAAAGGAATTGACATAATTGCAACTTCAAGCCTGAACTGAAATAAGCATGAATAGTTCTATTTATAGTAAATCTCTGAAGTCAATTCTGATGCAGGAATGCAAAGCATTCTGAAAATTTCTTCTCTCAAATCTGGGTTGAAAATATTTCTTTGTTCATTGATTGAATACAAGAGTTATCAAAATAGTAATTTCATCTACCCATTTAAAATAGAGAGAGAGAGAGAGAGAGAGAGAGAAAGAACAAGATATATCTAACATTTTGCCTACCCCAAGACCATAGACACCTAAAGGGTCTTTCTATCAATTAAGAAGTTGGTGTAATCTCCTGTAGAAAGTCCTCAACTCCTTCCTCCCCCTCTATTATCAAATAAACCTGGTAAGATGATGCTGGAGTACTTCTGCAATGCCAGTATTCAAGCATCTTCTTTACCATGCTGTGGAGCACCTGACAAATTCCAACTAGGCAATCTTTTTCTTCTATACCAAAAAGATGAATAATCTCTTTGTGATCATATTCTATTTTTGTTTTTGTGACACCCTAGACGAATCCCACATTGGCTAAACACAATGTACAAGTGAAGTACATAAAAATGGGCAAGTGTTAGATTAGTAAGAGACCTTTGGCCTATTGAGTTGGTTCTAGCCCAAGAACAAAGCCGTGCAGGCTTTAGTTGGTTCGGCTCAAAGCGGGCAATATTTTGCTAGGTCTGGGATGTCACAGACTTGGTATCAGAGTCAAGCTTTGTCCCTCTGGCTGGTGTTGCAGTAAACTTCAGCGAGGACGCTGAGTCCCTAAGGGGGGGTGGGATGCCACAGACTTGGTATTAGAGTCAAGCCTTGTCCCTTTGGCTAGTGGTGGGGCAAACCTCAGCGAGAACGCTGAGTCCCTAAGAGGGATGAACTGTGACACCTTAGGCGAATCTTACATCGGCTAAGCACAAAGTGTAAGTAAAGTGCATAAAATGGGCATGCCTTAGACTAGTAAGAGGCCTTTTGGGCTATTGAGTTGGTTCTAGCCCAAGAACAAAGCCGTGCGGGCCTGAGTTGGTTCGGCCCAAAGCGGACAATATCTTGTTGGGTTTGGGATGCTACATAAACATAACCATGATCCTTAGTAAATGCATTTATTCCTGACATTATTTCTTATTGTATTTGTATTTCAACATTGTTGTGTTCATTTGCTTGCTACTCGTGGCAATTATTGTCAACTTCTAACTTCTGGCATTAAATGCTAAATCAATACATGTGCATGATTCCCTTTTTGGATTTTAACATTATTAAATAGTAATAGTTCTTTGGTGTTCTTGATTATTTTGTTTGAGGACTGGGATTGTTGGTGCAAAAGTCTGACTTTTGTCCATAGACAGAAAGTTCAATAATATGTTTTTGGATAGAATGGTTATGTGTTTTGAAATGTTCAATGCTTGTAGAGCAAGTATACTATCATGCATTTCTTGTTTGTGTTCACTGACATGTGGATGACTCTATAGGTATCAAGGCTGCAAGAGCAGCTGCAAGCTGAAAGAGATCTTAGAGCTGCACTGGAAGTTGGCTTGAGCATGTCTTCTGGACAGTTCTCCAGTTCACGTGGCATGGATTCTAAAGTGTGTTCACATCTCGATGACTTTTTACCTTGTTTCCTTTACTCCTTCAAATACATAGAATATTTAGGTAATGCACATTCTTATGACTTAAAATTATGTGAAGACAAGGGCTGAGCTTGAGGAGATTGCTCTTGCTGAAGCTGATGTGGCCAGGTTGAAGCAGAAAGTTGCAGAACTTCACCATCAACTTAATCAGCAACGACAGCACCATTATGGTTCGCTCTCTGATGCGTGTGACCGCTATCAACATGTCCAAAATCAAAGCACTCAACAGTAAGTATGCCAATCGAGTATCTTTGCAGTTGCTCAATTTATGCTATTGACAATTATGAGTACTTAGCATGTTGCATTTCTTTTCATGTTTGAACTATCAGTTCACTGGCCTTTTCAAGACTGGGGTTTCGAGTATGTTGATTGTATGAACATGATTTCTGAATTGGGGAACCACAGAAGTTTCTTCTGGCGTCCTCCCCATTGAAACTCTCTATTCTAGGAGTAATATGTTGAGTTCCTTTTTTCTGAATTCACAAAAGACCAAGGATAATTATCCAAGTCTTTGCGCCCATTCCCTGCCCCTCGATACCCACCACTCCCAAATCAAGACGCATGTTTTCTTTATGTGTGCATACTGCATCTACTGCATGTCACCAATCTACTGGATTCATATGTTTGTTGTGAGAAATTATTTAAGCTACATAACATTTTTTTTTTTTTTTTAAAAAAAAAAAGGTAAAATACTTGATGTGGAAACTTTGAATATTTAAAGCCCTATCAACAGAATGTGTTGTAATGCAGTTCATTTGATAGTTTTTGGTGGAAAGAATTGGCAAAGCGTCTTTCTTTTCTTAATGTGAAAGCTAACTGATTCTTATTGCAATTGCATTTTATTTGTCTCTCCTTTCTCTTTCCTTTTGTTTTAATGGTAAGGAGCCTAGCAAGAAGTAGACATAGAAGCATTGTGATCACTGAAATTAGAGACAATTTCACTGGGTGATTCATGAAAGTGGTTGCCATAACAATTTTCAAAGCCTATTTAACGTCCTCTTTTTTCTGATATCTGCAGGAGATTTCTTCAGCAAGATTTTGATGCAACCCTTGCTTTCGTGAATCATGAAAGGAAACAAAGAACTGAGGTATTTGATAGCTCCAAGTTGCTTTCAGTTGAAACTCTTTTTAAGAGCTTTAGAAGTGCTTTGATATAAACTGAGTGGTTCCTGTAAGCTTGTGTTTTATAGGAACAAGTTATTGAACATGGTTATTATCACCTATTTGACTAAATGATAGTGTTTTTGAATTTTAGATTATTCATCCACATGCTTGTGTCACTTGTTCTTTGATGTTTGGAATTTCAGTCTTCCTGGCTGCTTAGGCACAAAACCTTCTCTTTAATTTGTCCTCTGATTTATAGATTTAGAATTACAATAGTTCACCAGAATTTGCAGAATAGAATAGAGAAAGATAATCCATGTAGCTGACTTCCATTATTTTGAGACTTCGGTTGAAATGAATTGAGTTTTTTTTTTTTATTTTTTTTTATTTTTTTTTTATTTTTTATTTTCTTTCTTGGAAGGATTTGTCCTCTGATTTATAGATTTAGTATTATAGTTCACCAAAATTTTGGCTCTGAACAGAATATAATAGAATACAGAAACAGAATCCATGTAGCTGATTCCCATTATTTTGGAACATATTCAAATGAATAAAAAAAATGGGTCTGGAACTCTTGCGCAAAGCTTCTATGCTTCTGTATAGTAGTTGAATTAACTGTAGGTTCTTTGATAAAATGTTTTAGTGGAAAATAATTCCAACACTTCAACTTTCACCCAACCATCCCCAACTTGTAATAACGAAAAAAAAAAAAAAAAGAATGAAAGAAAAAGAATAGAAATATAGAATTTGCAAATGAAAATACATAATTAAATTTAATTATTTGCCCTGAAAACCTTGAGACATAAATGTATATGTTATTTTTTCTTTTGGCTTTATACTTGATTTTGTTTGACAGAAAGCACTTTTAAGCCCTAGCAATCCTCATTATGATCTCCTCTTTTGGTGTATTTATCTGACAGTACCCTAAAAATCCAACTTAAAGTTGACTATTATGCTGCAGGAGAGCTTGTTAGGAGCAGATTGGAGAAATATTAAAGGAACTGGATTAGCAACTGGCAGCAGTAGTAGGCAGCCTCCTCGAAAGCAATTTATGGAACCAACAAGCCTGATTGATTCCAAAAGCACAGAGGCTTCCACCAACATGTCCATGGATGAGCTCTGCGGTGTTGATTCTGCTCCCTCCACTTCGAGAGCAGTAGAGGTAAGGGTATTCTCATAGCATCTGCTACTATAAATTCATGTTATTTAATATGTTGTTGATCTGGAAAAATCTGACCTAGTGATATGAATATGTTTTTAAAAATCTGGATGACCTTTCCCATCTAGCAAAAGTTAAAGGACTGAGAAAATGTTAATAGTAAATGGAAAGTTTTGTTTTAGATAAAGAGGAAAAAAAAAGGATATGCATTCATATGCATGAGACTTATATACAGGAATAATAATAATCTTGGATATTCTTTTTCACCCAAGATATGATTTTGTCATAATGGTTGCAGATGATGGATTATCCAAGACATCCATCGGCAGCATCTTCTGCCTTGGTAGAATTAACTACCCGGCTTGATTTCTTCAAGGAAAGGCGTTCTCAATTAATGGAACAGCTCCACAACCTCGACTTGAACTACGGCACAGCATCATCACAAGATTTTGTTTATAGACCATCATCCCCACCCTGGAACTGACAAGAAATGTTGCTCAGCGGTGAGTCATGTTGTACATTCTTTCAGGATTGCATATACTTGTATCTTGAGAACTCTTTGCTTCAATTCCAATATTCTTCCCCCCATTTTGCTCTCCTTTTTACATTGTTCTAGTTAGAATGTGATTGGATTCTAATCACCAAGTCTCCATCCTCCTAGCATTTGTTTTGCTATTCTGTCTCAACTATTGTAAACAAAAAAATTGGGCGTTTCCTGTTGTGTCAATAGCAGGTGATCTGTACTGAACATATATTTTGGAAGACTTTTTTTTTTTTTTTTTTTTTTTTTTTTTTTTTTTTTTAAGTCCTCCATCCTCTAGCATTTGTTTTGCTATTCTGTCTCAACTAATTTGTAAACAAAAAAATTGGGAGGGGGGGGGGGGGGGGGGGCCGTTCCTGTCTGTGTCATACGCAGGTGATCTGTACTGAACAGCATTATTTTGGAATAATGACTTTTTTTTTTTTTTATTTTTTTTTTGTTTTTTTTTTTTTTTTTTTTTTTTTTTTTTTTTTTTTTTTTTTAATTCTTTTCGATTTTTTTTTTTTTTTTTTTTTTTTTTTTTTTTTTTTTAATCTTTTGAGAAATCTATCTTGTATGTATTCAACAAAAATGGTCCTGTGTATATGAACATAAATGAGTGAATGAATGATCGAAATTTGATGGGTGCATTTTACGGAAATTTTTGAAGATGAATTCAATGACCAGTTTGTTGACAATGGCAACCCGTTTAGAAGTACAGCTGAGCTGATGTGTTCATTTGTGAAATGAATCATTGGTTAAATGTATAAAGACGATCCAAAATGATATGAGCAGATGAATTCAATCGCATTATACGCTGGTGGTTTCATACATTGGTACATTGGAATTCCCGAACTGATACGAGTAGCTAGTTTATTGGAACTGAAATGAGGTGCAGTTCAGGTAAACTTGTATGTTGCGCTTGGTTGGAATTTAACATTTTTATGAAAAATTATTCGTAGAAAAATAGATTCCTAGACGAGCAATTTTAGAAATATTAAGCTTTTATGTTTTGTTATAAATATTTTCTAGGAATCTTTGATAATTGTATCTATTTAATTTATGAAAAATATATACAAATTAAAAGAATATTCTTAATTCATAGGTATTTTCGTTATTTCATATTTCAGAATTATATCATACAAATATAAGCATCGGTTCCATAACTTTTGTATAATAATAAATTAATATGAAATGCAAATATTATTAAAATAATTAATTAATATAATATAGGACAATTTTTACATAATTTTTGTATTATAAAAAATTAATATAAAATATAAATATTATTAAAATAATTAATTAATATAATATAGAACATAATTTTTACTGTAATTTTTGTATTATAATAAATTAATATGAAATACAAATATTATTAAAATAATTAATTAATATAATATAGGACATAATTTTTACTGTAACAAATTAAATTATTCATAATGCCCACCGCAGGTTCAATGCGGTGGATTTTACTCACAATATACACGAGGCATTTTGAATGTTATATATATGGAAGCATTTCAGACATTTAATATTATCAATTTTTCTTGACAAATTGGGCAAATATATTTTTCGAAATACAATATATATTTAAATAAATTATGAATTTGGAAGTAGAGGAAATTGATTAAAATAAATGAATGAAATATTTTTATAAATTGATTGTAAAGCTAACGAATCAGCCAAACAAACATGATATGTCCTCTAACAGTGTAAAAGTCCCATTTAAATTCTCCGATGAATTCAATCTAAACCATTTCAACTTTAAGCAACAAATTAAATTTTCAAAGCTCTGATTTATTTTTCTTTTTCCAAACACTATTCATTTACTTTCTCTATAATTACAATTTTATTACAGGCAATCCAAGTTACTTTTGCAAATTTCTTTGTTTAATTTATTTTAATTGCACAACTAGTGAAGCATATACTGTGGATTCAACCCACAGTCGATGAGTCAGTTTAAGTGCAATTTTAATTTTTCAGTTAGTATACTACGCACACCTGATACACCTACAATTTTCAATTCAAGCTATCAACCAATCGCACCATTTCATTGGCTCATTCCCTTGAATGAACCAACAATCTTTAGTGGCATGCTTGGTGGGACGTTGTTGTATATTCTAAACACCTTTCACTTGAGTTTTAAGAGGAATCCATCCTAACCACCTTTCACTTGGCCAAACTCCTACAAACCATGAATATCTTCATGGAGAAAGTCACTGGAAAGAAGATTGATGTTGTTGACTCACTCGTCATTTAATCTCACACTTCCCCAAGTCCCTCGGGAGGCACTGGAAATGGTTGTGCTCTTGCTGAAGAGAGGCATCAACCACCACGGCGAAGAGAAGAGCCGGAGCATCACCCATAAAGAACACCACTTCAATTAGGTAGCCCCACTAGCAAGCCTACAATGACTCAACATATTATTTTTGTGTCCACTTGTCCCATCACTTACCCAAATGTCTATAAGATTGAGGCTTCTCATGCTACTCAATTGTTGAGAGGTGTATAGGGAAGTCAAGGAGCTAAAGGAGTTTACCAATACATACACTAGTGTCATTATAGTTTCTTAAGTGATAGGTAACATTGTTCCTTAAATTTCCAAGTCACCATGGACGTTTTGAGGGACGTTGTGTAGGAGCTATATGTGTGGGGCCTCAAATAGGTTGGCTTATTAGATTTGTGAAGCCCCATTTAGAAACCATCGACAGAGAGCCCTTATCTTAGGGGGTATAAAATTTTAGACTTTTCCTTGTTTTCTGGAGAAGATGGATAGTTGACCTTAGAGCACATTATCAGATTCACCATCCAATGCGGTGAAATAACTAATTTGGAGAATTTTGCTAACTATAAGCTTAGATTGTTTTCTAACTCCTTGACAGGTACAACTTTCACCTGGTATTCAAGACTCCAAATGAACTTATTCAACTCATCATATGAAACGGAGCAACTCTCTGTACTCAGTTCTTTAGAGTTGAGCTAAAGGTCTATGTGGCTAAATTGTCTAGGTTGACACAAAGAAGTGGAGAGACAATTGATTTATTCATAGCAACATTTAAGAAGCTAAGGAATTGGTGTGTAAGGTGTTATTACGTGAACATGAATTTGCCAAGATGGATAAGAGTTCGACTTCAAGTTGAAGAAGTTCCAAGGGATAGAGTTAGGGATTTCTATGAGCTGACGGTGAGGGTAGTATAATATGAAGAACTTTGAAAGAATAATCGTAGAGGGAAAGAAGCTCAACAAGGACATATTAGCAATAGCCTCACCAGGAAACTGTCGTGGCTGACTTGGTGAACTCAGGTTCCTATGTGTGCTCGAATCTGGGAGTTCCTATAATGACAGCTCTTAAAGGAAGAACTCCAGCTCAGAAACTTGACTTACCTTTGATGTTTCTAAGATAGAAGAGATCTTCAATTTCTTTCTAAAGGAAAATTTCATAACTCTTCCAACAGGTCATAACCTGCTGACGAAAGAAGCAACAAAGGGCAAACAATATTATACGTATCATGATTTCTGGAACCATATTACTAATAACTGTTGAAATTTTAAAGAATGCTTTACAAAATCTCATCAACAGGGGAAGCCTTGAGGTTCCTTGACAAAGAGAAAATGCTAATAGATGAAGATCTTTTCCTACTCATGCCATCCATCAATGTTTTTGAAGTAGATATGAGGAGTATCATTAATTGGTTGAAGAAGATGCAGGTTCATCCGAGTTCTTAAAGACTCATAAAGAGCCGCAATGATACTAGCAACAGAAGTTTCTAAGGGGAGCTGGTCCCTGCTTTGACCGCTTTTTCCTACAAAGGCAAGAGTTGTTAAATTTGAGCGAAAGTTTCAAAGGAATGAATCAAAATTTGTTGTTCTCCCACCTGTTGAGCCTAGCAAAAAGTGGATGATGATGCAACATGCAAAGTTCCTCAGCCTCTGACTTAAACTCAGAAGAGGAGGTTGTAGGGTCCCAATAGGCAAATATCCAAGAGAGGAGTGAATTGGTATTTTCAAAAATTAATCCTTTTTCAAGAATTTTTCAATCACAGTAGAAGCAACATATCATACCAACTCAAATAAGATAATAAACATGTATAAATCAATTAAACATTCAATCTGATTTATTATAGACATTAAAACATAAAGCTAAACCAGTTACTGAATATAGCTTATTGAAACTAGTCAGTAGAGTTTCTGCAAGTCAGTAACTAATCAAGGCAACCTCAGAAGTCAAATAATCACAATGCAACAGATAATCAAGTGAGTGTGTGAGTATATTCAAATATAACTATCAAGAGATAAAAGAGGAGAAAACAACAAAATCAATTTTATAGTGGTTTGGCACTTCTCACACCTACATCCACTCCTCAAGAAATCATCTTGAGATCCTCCACTATCATACTCTTTTCAAAGGCAAGAGCAAAGGCAAGTACAATGGAAATAGTTCGACTCCTTGAACTAACCATTTCCCATAAGAGATCCTCCACTATTCCATACTCTATTTCAAAGGGCAAGAGCACACACCTACATCCACTCCTCAAGAAATCATCTTGAGATCCTCCACTATCATACTCTTTTCAAAGGCAAGAGCAAAGGCAAGTACAATGGAAATAGTTCGACTCCTTGAACTAACCATTTCCCATAAGTTTTTCAAAGAACTTATAAACTTTTCCTTTCTAGTTTTTGATAAAGAACTAGATAAAAATTTAACCCCACTAATTTTTAATAAAAACTAGGAAACTTACAAGACTTGCTCTTACTCAAAGAGAGGTGCTTGATTACCCAAACAACAAAAGTAGCTTCACACAAGCTTTATTCTCGCAAGATTTTTGATTTAGCTTTCCTCTACTCTGTTCTAGATTAATAAGAACTTATAATAGAAAGAGAGTTAAGCCTATTCAAGCTCAAGAAAGAGAATTTAAAATGTTTTTCAATTCAGTTTTGAAAATCTCTCTCAAAACAGGTTCATCCTCTTCTCTTAGAAATAATGCACTTGAACCATAAAGAAGAAGAAAGAGATGAAGGTTTATTATGAAAATTTTTACAGTTAAAACAATAAACACGTATTTTCTCTCATACTTGTTGAAGTTTTTTGGCAACCTTTTATACCTAGAAAATTCTTTTCTTCCCGTTAAAGAGCAAAGTTAATGTAGTAAAAAAAGGAGGAAGAAGAAAGAAAAAAGATATCGACAGAATTTTAGCAAGAAAGAGGGAAAGGTTTGGGCTGTTGTACTATATTAGGAAGTGG